GTGATAGATTATTTGCCTAGTAATTTCTATTTTTCTTTCGAATTGATTAGACAAACTACTCGTATATATGTTTATAATATGCATCATAATTTATGGTTCTTTGCTTTATATAGTGTCGTTACTAATTTCTATGTGTATCATACCTTACTGGGCTTATAAATTTTAATGCTACTGAATAACAAATTTGGTAATCACCAAGTAGTGTAAAAGAACATATACTAGGAATACTAAAACATCACTACAGCAGGAACTATCCTTGATTTTGGCGTGATGGAACACTTTAGTATAATGCAGTTGCCATCATTTTTGGTGTTTGGGTACTCTAAACAAGTTTACAATGTACTAGTTGAGAATGCTGCATTGGATCATAAGTGTTTCAGTAGCACGACGCTTCTATTGCCAATTTCATAGTTAAGCATTTTCTATTCATAAATTCTTTCAATTCAAAAAGAACTTTTTATAAATATGCACCCAACTAGGTCTGTTGATTTATCACATGAATGCAAATCAATATAAAATAAACATTTTAAAATTCCAATGAAAATTAAGTCTGAAAATAACCACTTTCCACGTGGGGAGTCAACAAAAAAAGTGGCTCGACATAAATAAACAGTCACTTTTTCCCACCGCCCCAAAAAATAGTGACCCGTGCTCAAATCCCAACTGTGGCTGGTCGATACGAATTTCCCTCTGGGCTCACACCGATCACAGTTCAGACGTAAGATGTCCTCAATTATAGACGGATCATGGTTTCATGTCTTCTTGCCGTCACACTAACAGTGGGAAGTTTTCGTAGTATTCCTATCCATGTAGCTCAAATGCAAGTTTGTTCCATCAAAAAGTCCTCCATGAAGTTCTCCAATATTTCATTCAGGAGTTCCCTTGCCTTCTGGATTGGGTTTTAAATTACAAGGCTACGGAATTGAACATCGGTTGTCGTAAGCTCAAAATTGGGTCGGGATTTCAAAGATGGTAACAAAATAAAATAATGCTAAAAATACATTAATGCGGAAAGACTCTGGAAAACATAATTTCATTTAAAATGCTTAATGCTTCCCTTCAAAATTGTGGTTGTTCAGAATCCATCAATTTGGGATGGAAGGTTTCATGTGGAAGAAGAATTCACATATTTCTAAGTTGTAATGTATACATTATATTATATTGTCTATTCAAATATTTTTGAATTTTTAAATTCAGTATGCTTAACTAAATTTTGTCACATTTTCTTTATTATTTTTATTGTAGAATATAACTTTTTATTGCCGTAGATTATTTCTAACATGATTTTTAAAAATATAATTTAATCCAAGTAAAAAAATAATAAAAAAACTGGCTATTATATGAAAGGGACCTAACGATATCGGTAACCGATTCATTAGGTTTGAGAAAAAAACTGACTACTAAGTTATTACCGGCTATTGGTTACTAACTGAAAATTTAAATTTTTAGGTCTAATGATAATAGTTTCGCATCTTTTATACTTTGTTTTTAGTAGAATTAAAGATATTTAATAAGCAATGGTATGCTCAGTCCAGCTTTTTCAATCGATTTAAGCATAAAAAAAGAAATCCCTCAGAATTTTGAAAACATTTTTAGTTTGTTAATTTTAATGAGAAAGAGCAGTCTATTAATTTAATTCTATAATACGAAGAAATTAGGCGCACTTAATCTTTTTTAGCTCGATAAATTTATTGCATCGATCATTAAATCCAATCCTTTTATAAATTGAACTGAATAAACTGAAAAATATTTCTCAGTATTTAAGTTAATCCTCCTTTATTACAGTAATTTAGATTTTGGATACTTTCATGAAGTGTTTTTAGTATTCAATTTCATTATTAAAAAAGGAATCGAGGTGATCGATATTTAAATTTATGAGGCTGAATTTGCTTTCTACTTGATAATTTATAGTTATAATTAAAAGAATGAAGTCAATTAATAAAAACTTTTTTTTAGAATTATTGATGTTATTAAAAGTCAGATTTAAAGCTTTTTCAATTTTATAGTCAAAGTTGTTTTAATTCCACGAAAAATTCATTTTTGGTCACTTTCGTGAAGAAAAAATAATAATTGTAAACTCGCAATTCATTGAGCATATCAACATTAAGAACAAAAACCATTGAGCATAATGAAAAAATTAGTAGTTTTGGAATTGGGCAAAGTATTTGCTTGAAGTGAGAGAGCAGAGTGGATGAAAATTATTTGTGAGAATGCTTGTTAAAATGTTCCCTTTAAAAAAAATCAATTTTTCATAATTTTGTAAAATTTATTCAATGTGAAAAGTACCAGCATAAAATTTCTTACAAAAGTGTATTCGACATTTTTTAGAAGATTAATAATTTACGAAACAATGAGTGAATTGTTGAAAATTGGGGTAGGGATTGAAAAGGTTGGAGGATTTTTTTTTTCAGAAAAAGAGGCTTTTTTTTAGGGATATGACTTTTCAATAGCTTTGTTTTACATATAAAATGTTCTTAAGTGCGAAAAGTTTTTTATATATTCCGGGGGAATTCCAAAATTCGGAAAAAAGAGAGGTTAGGAGAAAAACGAGTTCGATTACAATGTTTTCAGCGAAGTAACAATGTATTGCACTGATAAACAATGTATTAGAGTTCTTGCATGGTCTCTGCGGACACCTTCCATAATGAAGCGGAAAACTAAAACTAAACGCCTTATCCGAAGTCATAAAATAAAATAAAAACTAAAAGAAATTAGGATAAAACTGAGCTGCCTTGGTTGTTAACACTATTTTAATAAGGATAAACAAGAGTAAACATAATTAAGAGAAGTTAAAAATTGATAACTAAAGCACGGGTCAAACGGATGCTTGCGGCATTCACGAGAAATCCCTTTTTCGTGGATTTATTTTTTAGAAAATGTCCATTTATTTTAAGTTTTCCCTTTTAATTTCATTTTTGAAATGCTAGAAGATCATAGATTAGATTTTAGGTTATTTTATAATCAAAACTAATTCATTATTGACTGAATTTAAATGTTTTAAATCAATAGAAAACTGTCGTACAATGCGTAGTCGATTAAAATATTTTGGAGCAATTCTGGAGAAATGAACAATATTACAGTCTTTAAATCATAAAACAAAGTCATTAGCCCAAAGCATGTGAATACAATACTAATAGTAAACATGCGAATGTACTATTAGTATTAGATATGGATTAATATGGATTCTTTAGTTAGAGTTTTGAGTTGAGTAAAACTAAAGATGTTACGCACAAGTTGCATTTTTCGATGGTTTATTGTATACCATTAGAATCTTCTCAATTCTTTTCGAAAACTCAAAATTCTTGAAACAAAAATATGAGGATAAGAAATCGGAAGCACGTTTCTCATAACGTTCCCATATAACACAGACAGGTGAAAAGATGAACCATTTTTTAGCTAATATCTAGAAGTTATTTCCTTAGAATCTCATAAAAGAAATAAAAACTCAAATTATAATCATAAAAGTCGAGCAAAATGCCACTCTATCCTCTGTACAATCCTGTCATGACATATAAATAGTTAGAGTTAAGATGTAAAAAAACCGGTCCTATCGTCCCGCACAGAGAAAAAACATTCCGGTTAAATTACGGCACTGTATACAATGACAATTCTGTTTTTTTTTTCTTTTAAAAAATTGTAATTCTGATAATAAAACCAAAATATATGGTTTTTATATTAATCTATTTAGTATTTTTTTCCGTTCATATGATGAAGGCTTACCTGGTTTTCAAAATTACAGTCTTATTATACATAACTGAAAAGTAAATTTATCCAAATAAATGGTTTCTTATACCCTACTCTAATGTATCATAATAAAATTACCATATTTTGCGATATTTACCAGGTTTTATAACATATTATAAAGGCATATTTTATTTTTACTTTTAAAAAAATTCTTACCAAAGAGCTTCAATGAAAATTACAGAACTTTTTGTTGTTCCCATAAAGTCAGAAGCACTGTAAATTTTATCACATTCTATTAGTTAGATCCTACTTTTTTTCTCAGCCAAGAAGAAAAGAAAGCCAGCCTGACCTCCTATCGATACTAATCTAAACTATTTTTCCTGAACAGTTTATTTTGTTTTATAACCAACCCAACCATGAGTTTACAACTATCAATGTTCAACCCCGTAACCTTGAAATTTTGAACCCAACTCAGATGCCAACTTCTGGATCAAGGGCAACTTCTGGATCTAGAACTAGCCTGCGTGGATAACTTTTTAATGGAAGTAACCCGCATTTGATTTGTAATAAGAGGAAAACCACTAAAATCAACCACAATTGGCCCGATGGAAAGGGAATTTTAAACCATGATCTGTCTACCACTGAGCATATTTAATGCCTTATAATTTAGATTCCAATCCAGAAGACGAGGGAACTTCTGGATCAAGTAAATTTGTCTTCATATACGACGTTCGATGGAACTAACCTGCATTTGCGTTACATGGAGAAGAAAACAAGGAAAAGCTCCCATGGTTAGCCTGACTTGCGAAGACTCTTACCAATTATCCGTCTACCATTACGTCAACACTGTGGTAAATGAGCAGAATTCGTATCAACGAGCTACCGCTAGGATTGGAATCTCCTACCTCATTGGGAGACAAATGCTCTATCCCCAATTAATGAAACAGTGCAGACTGCATTTTACAATAATATTTACCCTAAAAATTTCCGGTCTAATAATCGATAACAGCAAGCACTCGTTTTTCTTTTTTATTTAAATACTCATTAAGAAATAGTTATGACAATTAAATGTAAACATTTAAATTAAGTGCGATAACCCTATAAGTGTTCGCTCAAAATGCACCGACTCCTTAAGAGATTTTTCATTAAAAAGGCATATCATCTTGATTTTCAAGAAGCGAGATGGCCTAATGATCGCATGTTTGATCTCTAGGGTGCATTTAGTTCCAATTCCCCGAGGAGCTTAGCGCAACAAGAGGGCGTGGTTCATAATTCTCCGCCTATCATTACGTCATAGCTACTGCTCCTCTAGTTGTGGGAGTTAGAACTCTATAAAACTGTTTCACAGATCCCATAAAGTCCTCTGAACTCAAGGAGGCATTTTTAAAAAGTTTAGAAATCAACGCGTACTAGTTTGGGAACAAATTTGAAGGAAACGCAAGTAAGTTTCACTTCTTTTTTTCATATTTATTAATACGCATCAGATTATTTTTCACATTATCACTTATTTACTACCGGCTAACAACTGAATTAGGCTTGTAATTGCATTATAAATAAACTTTCTATGCTCAGATTAAAATCTCCTAAATATTATAAATGATATTCACATTTTAAATACTTTATGGGTGTTAAGTAGGGCTGTAAGGTAACGGAATTTTAACATCATGATTCGTTATCATAAAATAACAATAATTAACGAAAAATCACAATTTTTTTTTTCATTTTGACTCTATTTTGATGAATTTTTCATTCGATAATTCTTATGTCAGCTAAAAAGAAAAATATTTATTTTAAATTGTCTTTAACAATTTTTATAATAATTAATTAAAAAACTTCTAATAGAAGCAGCATATTCATAATATCGCTGCCGATATTATTTTGAGAATCCCTTGTCGATATTATGTGTAAACATCATTTTCGATAATTATTATCAAATTTTTGCATTCGATAATTATTACTATCTACAATGATCGCGTTACTATTGTTTTCTGTATTTATCATTGTTGATAATGAACGCGTGATTGTCACATACCCGCTATTTATCATTATACACGGTATATTCTGATACAATGTCGGAATATTTTTAAAAACATTATTATTGCAGTGCAAAAAATACATATATTTCACGGTATATCACCTAGTCCAGGTGTTTCCAAAGTTGATTTATAATTGTCTTATATCTTCCAGTAGAATATTTTTCTCCAGCATTATGTTTATACACAATGAAAGTTTCATAAATGTAAGGTTAATAAAAATTGAACAATGACAGATTAAAGTAAAATGTATGCATCTCAATTTAAAATACACTCAAGTACTTTATTTTAATTTATAACCATCGTTGAACAGCCTACACAATCTTGGGTTTATGACTACTAATGTTCAACTCCGTAGTCTTGTTATTTTGAACCCAATTCAGAAGACAAGGATCATGTATTGGGAGAAATTTGCTTACGTGGAGGACTTTTTGATGGAACTAACCCCCATTTGCTTTACATGGAGAGGAAAACCATGAAAACCTCTCATGGTTAGCCTGACGGCATTTTAGGTGACTCTAGCCCATGATCCGTCTGCCATTGAGGATATTTTACAACAGCACTGGGGTCAGTATCGTCCGGCCATTGCAGGGAATGGAACCCGTTAACCTCGCTGGAAGCCGAGCGCTCTATCCCCTGAACCATCCCGGCACTTTAATTGTTATTCTGAAATAAATATTATAAGCTGAGTGAAAGTCCGTCATAAAGACAACGCATAACAGGGAATAAAATTGTCGTACTACCACAACACTTTTTGTAGTAAGTAAAAGCACATATTTAATGCTAAAATTCAATATAAAGTGCAAAAAAATTTCAATATTAACCTCTTTCTTTTTTATTTTGGAGAATTATCTTCATTTAAAATACATATCTGGAGTAGACTGCTCCTGTCAGGAGACAGAACTACTTGGCTCTCTGCATAATAAAAGACAAAAATGTCTAATTCTTTGAATAAGTTTCCAATTCGTTACGTCCTTTTTAAAAAGAAAATGGAATGTACAAGCCTTTACATTTCCATAACAGTGAATGTTGATTTTAATAATAAGTCGTCACGAAGAGAAATAACAGACATGCTGTGTATGAAATGTGAATTTTTTTAAGAAGAGTTCTGCCGGATTTCTAAAAACGGAAGATCTTTTTGTTGAGAAAAAGATAACCAAGCTGGTGGTCACCTTCACATTGCTTTTTAAAAAATAAGAACCAAAAAATGTAAGACGGAAGTGATATCCACTTTTCTCATTTCCTTATTGATACCAGAAATAAATAAAATAAAAAATAGTGCGTGGAGTCCCTCCGCGCGGAAGAAGTTAAACTTCGCAACCTGCGACGCTAATTGTAGAAGAATCAGCAGTCGTAGAAGGATCACTAGTTCTATTCAACGACTCTTTTTCCTGCTCCGCTCGCTTCAGTGTTCTGTAATCACGGTAATATTGTGCATTTTTCCCTCGTGGACCTCTTGAACCAGTGGAAGTGCTTGTGGTTGCCTCATCGTCTCGCCCTGGAAAATGTATTTGTATTAATTTAGTATTAATAATGTATGTGAATGCGTCATAATGTAATTTCAGAAGAGAAAACCTAACAATCAATTGATATTCACAAGAGACGTACCTTGACATAACCTTAAATCCGTCGCATTGTCCGTGGGATTGTTTTCACTCATTTTTTACAATTGTTATCTAAATTTGAATATAAAAAATACTATCCTATTAAATTATATGTGTATCAAATCAAACTAAAGAAATATTTATAGAAAAACAATACTTTTATGACTTATAATATTTTTATGCTAGTGAGAACCAAAACAATATGGAAATGAATGAGGGAAAACTGGATCCTACCACGTGATTTCCCGGCCAATAAAAATGTAGCGTTAAACGTTTAACGCAACCTTGTTGGAAGTAACGTAAGAAGTATGACTTCAAAAATGTCTTCCATTTAAATTTTTTCTTAAAATATTTGCTCATTCGAACATCAGAAAAACGTATATTAAGATTATATTAAGGTAACATAAACGTACTTTATTAAGAGATTTCTTGTCGTAATGGCAGAAAACTACTAATCTTAAAACCTTACCGGCATCTTTAATATTATGAAATTTTGAAGATGACGTAGAAATTTGTCGTAAAAGCGGATTTCTTTTAATATGCCATGCTTGTTATATCAAGATTTTATTGTATTAATCAAAAGAATAGAAATAAAGCGAAATTACCATCTATGCCAAGATATAAGGAAATCGTTTCGTGAAAGTGTTTTTGATGAGATATCTTTAACTCTTTGATGCAGAATTTTTATTTAACACAATTTTCCTACTTTTTTATTATTTTAATTTAATTTAAGGTGAAAAAAAACAAGAGGAGAATATTATAATTAATATCTTAATTATTTATGGTTATGAAGTACAACATTAAACACAGGTGCCTTTATCGGGGTTAGTGGTAGAATTTTTACCACACGCCTCACTTTCAAACAATGATTTTTCCAATTTGCAGTTATTTCCAGTTATTTAGGTCTAAAAGAGAAACAAATATTTATCAACGAAATTTCTTTGATTTGCAAAATAAAACGTTGAGAAATTTTTGAATATGAATGTAAAAAAAATCAAACTACTTTTTTTTTGATTTTATATTTAAGGGAAAATATAATGACAATAACCGAACAGATTTTTTTTAGTAATAATTGGACTGTTTTTTTTATTATTTTTCTTGTAATTAGAGAGTCAGAAAAAAATATATATAAGGGAACAACTGTGACCACCGTCTTCAAAGGGTAAAACTTTGTTTTTTCCTTTCAAGGGATACAGATAACTTTATTATTACTTCTCTGTCGAATTGTTTTTGAATTTCCGACCCAAAAAAGGCAATTCGTCTAATTGCTGAAAATTAATATATGCTCTATCTAAAATTCGGAAAGGAAAAATATTTTTGTCCTCAAGTAGTTTTTTGCTTGACCTATTGGTAGTGAAATATGTGATGTACCGTCCACTAATCTCCAGTTTACCCTGCAAGGAATCCAAGTTTTATCTTAAAAATATACACTGTGATAACATATTTATTAACTCCATGCTTTGAAATGTTTAAGAGAAATATCTGCATGAAATGATCATTAAAATTAGTTAAGAATTATTTTGGAAAATAATTTTTCAACCTCGAAGTTTAAACAGCTTTACAATCAGTCTTGGGGCATCAGACCGCAAAAATCTCATTTATCACAAAACTATATCAACTATTTTGACATGCAATACTTACACTAATGAAAACGAAATTACGGGAAGTACAAAATTATTTTGATTTCAATTCCAGGCAGGAAATCTCACTGCTAATATTGGAGAGAAAGCGGAACTAGTTGCACCATCTTTTAGCAATATTCAGAAATACAAAAATAATCGCGGGGTTTAAAAATACGTGCAAGTAGCGACGAATTCCATTTCAATGATGCAATTATTATCTTCGTTGCGATGCGTGCCACTCTGACCATACGGGCACAAAAATGACATACGTAGGAGATGTGACACAGTCAGAGAAGGGTTAAGGATTAGTCTTAGACTTGAAGACGCAGATATCTCGAACCACGGGAAGCATTTTTTGAGCCCCTTATCCAGTTCTAGTGTTCATTGGTTGTTGCGCTAAAACATCTATCATTTCATACAAAGAACAAAATAAAAAATACTTAAAAGTAATTGATTATAATTGTCGAAAGTAATTTTACTGATGAATTTACAATTTTCTTTGGATAAAAAAATTCTCTATATCGAATCGCCAAAAATTTTTTGTTTTGTTTTTATAGAAGATCCCTCTGCCTCCTTCCAATGATTTATACCGAATGATATACTTAAGCATTTGTTGCTTCTAATGACAATTGGAGACTCCAAGCTCGCCAGCCAGGCAAGTTAAGTGTGGAAGGTGCACCCTTCGGTTGATAAGAGAGCACCACAAGGGTGAAAGTATGTCTTAGATCAGAACTCCACGAACAGATGGCAGCACCAATTATTCATGAGTCCACACAATTTCGACAGAGATCTGAAGGGGAAGAAAATTTTCTCCAGGTTTCACTCTCATTACCCTTGGCATAGCTCAGCGACCGACCACGGCACCTTTTATTCCACAGATTTTACGAGCACGTATATCGCATATACTCGTTGGATCTCAACTCGTTGAGTTAAGGATCTTCGACCTCTCTGGACTAGAGTCGGATTCTCTAACCACTGAGCTACCACAGCCCTCATAAGCTTTTTTTCTTCCTCATTCAACATGTTTTACTGCCCATTTCGTAATTCCAGATTCGTATACAGTAATAGTAATTTATTTAAAATATGAATTTCGATTCATGATTCGTCAATCTTGAAAGTATGAATTGTGATGTAGAAAGTCGCTAATCATGTGAATATTCATGTGTAATTCGTGAATCACGT